ATCGGTCTAGCCGTTCTCAAGTTATGGCGTGACAACGGGAAACGGGTTTCATTTATATATATATAGATAGATATATAGATAAAGATATTTTCGCATAGAGCAGAAAACATCTATGAAACTTTGCAACGAAACAATCTAATTCATTCTTAAATAAAACATACCAGTTCAAAACGGTCTAGGAAAAACCTAACCAACACAGACTGACCTGAAATCTAGTAAAACTAAAACAAACAATGTTTGCAACTGGAAACAGGGTAGAAATTCAATTTGCTATGTCGCCGACAAAAAGTGGGGACAAAACGTGCATTGCGCCCATATTTGGGGCGTGCCTCAAACAAAGCAACAATAAAATATGTAGCATATACATAGGAGCAAATTTATCGGAAACCACGGTACGAGCAATGGTTCGCGAGCATGTCGAAACATGGATCCGATTGAGCCCTTAACACTGGTTTTAGTCATAAACGATTTCTGAGTGAAAACTTTAATGAGTTTATTTATCACTATAATTTTTTCTAGGTTTCATCGAAGCTTGGTCATCGTAGGTCGTCTGAACATAAGTTATCAGACTCCTATAAATAATTTATTTTGAAGATATTTTCATACACATTTTAAGGTTCTATGTGTGTCTTTACTAAAAGAACGAGACGTAATTAAAACGTCGATAACATAACATCACATCTTTTATTCCCCAACAGGTAGGCAGAGGTGCACATTACGGCAGTCAACGCCATTGTACAAAGTAACACCCACTTTTCACTATTTATGTTTTTTAGTCCCATGGGTAATAGGGGATTAAGATGTAGATAGGACTACAAACTGAGTAAAACGTATTTTTTATCGAACTAGGATTATAACTGCAACTCTTACATGATAATATTAGCTGAAGCAGTTATCATTATACATAATGGTTAGAATAGGTATATATACTAAAATAACATAACGTAACATTGTTCATTCATAATTTTACTAAAATATGAATGAATTTAATTTCTATTCGACGCTACCAAACTAATTATAATAAAATAACCAACCTAATTATATCAAATTACTGACCAAAAATAAATTCATTCCACCGAAACCAATGGTAACGCCTACACTATTCACACGCAATCAAAATTCCACCTCAGCGCCTTTGTTTAAAGTTCAAAATCGATTTGAACTTCAATCGTTTGAATTTTACACATCAAAAATTCTAGAAATGCGAGGTCCACGCAACGGTGAAAATAATTAATTTCTACCAAATCCATTACTGTTGAGTGCCCCTGCATAAAACTGTTGGCTTAACAATAACACGAATCTTTAATAATCATAGTGCTGTTCGCTTTATTCATTCATTTGTTTTTTAAATAGTTTTTTTAATGGAAGGGCCTTTGTGAATTATTTTTGTAGTACTTTCTTTTGTTGTGTGCTGTGAGTTAGGTTTGGGGATTTCTTTCTTTTTCTTTTTTACGTTTTGTTACAATACTTTTTTATCAACAGAAACTGAACAAAAACTAAAAAAAACAAACTCAGAGGAAGGTTAGGAAACCCATCTGAGGTTTTGATTAGTACTGGCTCCAATCTCCCATTAATTATTGAATTATTTATAAACACTGTTAAAAGTGTGTCGTTACTTACCTAGAATATATTTTGACCTGTTGTGATTTTATATATTATTAGTAAAATGGGAGAAATAAAAATAAATAAAATAAAATAATTATTTATACTCATGTTATAATATTTTTTCTTTGTAGTATTTATTTGTAGTATAGTGATTGATTTCACGTACCATGAAGTTAAATGTCAAATAAAATATAGTTATTACTTTTGCATAGCTTATTAAAAGTAAAAAAATGAGTTTAGTTATTCAAATTCGTAATATTGAACATTAGGTACCTACTAATTGAAGAATTTTACACAAATAATAAAGCGGTCTAAACTAAAGACAAAGTTTTGAATATTAAACAATCACACTGTGATTGTTGACTATGAATTAAATAATCACAGTATGATTACTTTGATATGACTTTCACATCAAATAAATTCCATCTACGTTTGCAATACTAACTGGGCTTCAAATGACAAACTTTCCTAAAAATGCCATCAAGTTCAAAAAGTCGTGACGAGAACAACAGATTATGAGTTCGTAGCGTTTTGTTAACCAATCAATCTGGACTGCGGCAGGTGACTGCAATATCCTTGCAGCGCCAATCAATCTCCCGTACCATGTTGGCTTGCAGATCCTTTTTTTAGAACATCAATTGCGAAGTTTTGATGAAACACGATATTGGTGCCTTTCGTAAACCCGAATGGCACTTCGTACAGTTCTGTTGGCTATATTTGGGTCGGTTTTTGTTTAGTTCCCACCTGGTGACTTACTCTTGAATCCAATTCCAATCGATCGACATTGGTATTGCGAAATTTCGTACTCTTGTTTGCAACACTAGCGCCCATTGCATCCGTATTGCGTGGATATTGAATGAACTAAATGGTATTGAGTTTGGCTTTATATCCCATACTCTAAATGCTATTTTAACAGCTACGATTGTGGTTGTATCGTTTTGACATTGAATAATTATTGAGATTTTATTGGAATGAAATTGCATTGACATTGATATTAGTTTCAAGAGTAAGCACTCTGATTCTAGGAAAAGATTGTGTTTGTTGTTTATACTCCCGATTCTCATATTTGAAAGTGTGAGCTCGAAACCTACCAACAGCAAATACCAATGTGACTTTTCCGAGTTATATGTACTTACATACTTACTTTCCAAGATTATTTAGGCACCACTGACAAACGAGAAGGAAAACATCGTGAAGAAACCTGGACTTATAATTTTTAATTATAAGTTTGAAATTTAG